CTAGGATAGATTGACTTAACCCTAGCCGCCAGCCCCTCATTCTATTTATAATTAACTTAAGTATGAGATATTACAAAGATGCCCTAAGTAGGGCGGCAACTCAACCTAAGTAATTACAACTCTTTAAAAAATAAAGACTAATGGGCCCAAGGCCCAACAACATCTTAATTTAAAAGGAAATAAACTAAACACAAGTCGGCCCACTCAACAATATGTATTAGGGGTAGATTTGTCAGTTAGGGAAAAATCACTGATTAGGGTTTTTTTGAAAGGTGATATTTCATTGATGATGAAAATATAAGAAAGACTGCAGAGGGATAGGGTTCCTCCATAGCCAGTTACAAGAAGCTACGGGGAGCAGCAACTAACAAACATATTACAACATAAAACTATCATCTGAAAGCATAGAAACCCAAAGATCCAAGAAGTACTTGAATTTGAAGCCCTTAAGAAGGTTGTTGATCAAAATCCAGTTCAGAAGAGTTATTTCAAACTTGCCACACGGTTACTCAATAGGTTGACATATGTCTTCAAAAGTATGGGCATTCCTTTCAGCCCATAAGCACCAGACTACAGCCATAGGGGTCATATTCCAAAGAAATGGGGTATTGATGTTCTTTTATATTATTTTAAGCTGTTGCCCATTGTACTAAAGGGAAGCCACCACATATAAATAATAGAGGGTAGATGGGATTAGTTATATGAATCCCTTGATCTGTGCTCCCTCTATTCTGTCTTTGCTTCTCTTCTTCTCCTCCTTTTTCCTTTCTTATCCTGCAGTGTTCTCTGTTATACAGCAGGGTGAAAAGTTTTAGATGCCTTGCTGACCTGACTGTGACTATTTCAACTTTCAACTAGATCTAACATTCTATAGGTCATGACTTATCTTGTTTTAACACATTATTTCAAATACCTCTTCAGCTTGATGTAAAATCTTGGTTTTTTTGGTAGCTAAACAAAAATTTTCTTTAACTGATATCAGAGTTCAGAACATTGTTACAAAATTCCAACCATTCAGGAGGAGCACCCTGTCAAATATTACAAGAGTCAAACTCTTTAGCTGTTTGAGTCATTCTGATTTGTGGTAGATGCAGAATGCAGTATAGTACACATTTTCTTCGTTTGCTGTTAATTATTTTGCTGTGCTACTTACCAGGCGTCTTTTCACTTCTTAAGCTTGATGCAAAAATCTTCTCTTGTAATAAATGCAGAATTCAGTACAGTGCATATTGCCCTCTCCGTTTAACCTTGGTACTTTCCAATTCTTTTGATGGAAAATGGTAATTTTCATTCATTAGAATAGATAATGATTACACTGTCACCACCCAAGGAGAGGATGGTGAACCCTCAAAAAATAGAACTGTCTTACAAACAGGCCCAAAACAGAGATTCCCTATTGACTCCTTGCTTTGCTAAGTGTCAGCCCCATTCCATTTGCTGATCTTCTAGTTCATCTAAATTTCAACCCAAGTTCCCTTGCTAAACACTTGATTTATCTTACAGGTTGTCTGAATGGCCAAGTTCCCAATCTTCTTGTTTGCAGCCACCCTATTACCAATTTTGGAGTCTCCTTCCACATCTAGCTGTTGCAAACCCCATTGTTTATCTAATCTGAGACCTTGGAGCAGAGCCAACACTTCTTGGTACTTTACAAGTTATATATTCAAAGTTGATGCCTAATTTATCATATATTAATAAGATTTATGCCCTTTTACTGCTTGTTTTTATCATTAGTATTGACGTGTATATTGGTCAACATAAATTAAACTCAACCATTAAAATTACAACAATTTGTGAATAAGCATCAACTACTATTTTAGAACATCTTTGATATATTCAGTAGTTGAGATGCCTAGAATACAAATTCTGCTCTTCTACTGCCAGTCACTAGTTGCTGCTTTTCCTTCTTTGATTGCCAAAATGGTGGATATTTTTTTTGTCATTCGGTCATTCCATAGTTAACTCATCCAAGAAGGATATTTAGTTTTCCCATTCTATGCATTGGAGTTGTGAATGGCTACATTGTGTTACACTGCACCTGTTCCTATTGATTTTCTTTCTTAAAATTACGGGTATGTATATATATATATAATGGGTTTACATTCTAGATCTTGTTTTATACTTCATTTTGTATACCTAGGTTCTCTTCAGTTTAACTTGTTGTACACCAGCTTTTGTTAACATAATTCTTATTCATTATGTCAAATTATGTTTAGGATGTGAATATAGTTATTTCTAATTTTCCATATATTTGTATTATAATGCACACTACATTGCATAACTCATACTATTTCCATATAAAGAGGGCTCTGGAGGAGAAAAAATCAATTCAGGCTGAGGTGAAGAACTCAGAAAGATCAGCAATGCAATCTTTCCAAGAGAAAACTTCCACTGTTGAGGTGTATTCAAAGGTATTGGAATTTGAATTACCTTTCTTCAATAAATTGGTAATCCTTGCAAATTATCTCGATATAGATCACTGCAAATTGCTTGGTGTAATGGTAAAATATGGGTCGACAAGCATGAGAACATGGCTCAAATCTGAGAGGGACACTTTGTGCAAGAGAATGCTGAAGGTTAGGTCCATATACAATCTATCCCTTTCAATCTCCAGATAGTTGGGGCTGAGGTTGGGTAATGGCCTTTTTACCTAATATATCCCTTGGGTGTTGTTTAGACAAGGTACATCTGCTTTTTTTTTTTTTAATTTGTGATTTACACAAAATTATGGGAATAGTCCTGAAAATTATTGGCTAAGAGGTTTTCTTTAGATCCCTACAAGTGACAATATAATAGGAATCCTCTGGTATTTTACAGAACAATAGTGAGGTAGAAATTGATTTAGGTTAGTAAATTTGCTTAGTTTGATCCATTTAAGTGGCACTAGATTTGGCTTCTGGGAACCCAATTGGTGATAAAGAACATACTATCCCCCTTAAACTTTTTATGCAATTTGACATGTCAGTGTTCTGAAAATTGTAATTGTATATAAATCTAGAGAAGGTTGAATCTAATCAATTTTAACCATAAATCGTGTAATAAAAGTAAGGTGATTCTTTTTGTTTAGAGTTTTGTGAGAATTAAAACAGTATATACCAAAATCTTCTTAGAAAATAGTTTTAAACATAAAACTGATTAATACAGCGAAGTTTACTGCATGTGCACTCCAAGTGTAAGAAGTTTAACTTCAGAGTTAATTAATACACAGAAAGTGTCTTTAACTTCCATATGGTTGAAAGTAAACCTGGAAAGATCTTTCAATAGGTTTTGAATAACCCAAACACATCTTACTCTAGTTGGGTTTTTAGACGAAAACCCCTCAAAAACCTTAGAAAAGAAAAAATAGCATAATACAGCACTAGGTCTTAGTCAAATCACTGCAAACCAAATGAGTTGGATAAATCATAAGGTATAACAAATCGAATCATAAGATTCAAATAGCAATGCATAGTTTTTCCCCCAAAAAAGGATTCAGTCTTAAGATTCTAATTGGAACCCTTCTGAATTTATGATTTGTATCATGAAGTCATATTCTAGGCTTAAGATTTGACAACTATGGAGTGTTTACATAATTGTATTGTAATCTTGCAACATGAGGAAACTAAACACTTCATCTTTCCTGTGCTAATAACTTTTATCTTTCTTTTTCAGGCTCATAAGAAAATGTCCAAGAACTTTACTCAGATGCAGGAAATACAAGAACAGGTTCAATTATTATCTTGCCTTATTCTTTTTTTTTTCTCAATAATTATAATCAACATCTTGATTTGGAGCATCTTTTTATTGGTAAATGAAATGTGAAGAATGCTGATAGAAACAGAATTCTATCAGAGGAACTTGTAAAATGGTGAAACCTATTCTACAGATTGATAAACTGTTAAGGATAGTCCATTAAATGATAATTTGATGCACATAAGAAATTGTTGGACCTATCATCATTTATTTCCACCATGTTTAAAACCTTTGGCAATTACAAGACACCAAGTCAATCCAAAACTACGCTTTTTTTCCATTTATTGTTTAAAAAATTTGATAGATTGGATAGCTGAAAATACTAGTTCCATTTAAATCTTAACATAAAAGATCCAGTCAGACCCATTTATCATAGGATTAACCTTTTCTATGCATGTCTGGGAAGACAACTGAACAATTACTAAATTTGGTAAATCTGATAGTGCTTGGACTGTTTAACTTACTTTAGTAAACAAGTATGTTCTCATCATTTGGCATTGTCAGGTTAACAAAAGCAAGACAATTGATAAAGATGTTAAAGTTATCAAGTTTAAGTTTAGTGAGGATGAAGAGTCAATCATGTCTCTTGAGGCAAAGCTAGTTGAACGGCAAAGAAAAGGTTTCTCCTCACTTGGGATTTTGATATGTTTCACTCCATCTTTCAATTCATATATGTATTGAAAGATTATCATTTTCTTCCTTAGTGGAACAACAGGAGTCGTCCAGAAAGGCATTAGAGAAAGAGAGAGACCTGAAACGTGAGGAAGTTAACAAGGAGTTAAATCATGTGATTTTGGACGTGGAAGCAAAGAAGCATGACCTACAAGAAAGACAAAGGAAAATTGAAGTTATGGTAGCAGAGGTAACATTCTATGTTATTTTTATGATGGGTGATAACATTTCTTTAACTCCTTCACTTGACCTAATAACATTTTAAGCTTTTACCTTGAATTCAATTTAATTCAAGTTCTTCTGTCATTTTTGCTATTAGGGTGATGATATAACTTTGAAAATCAATTCAGCAAAGGAGACATCAGCAGCTATGCAACAAAAACTGGCTAATAAATGTGAGGAGATTGTAAATGAGGTGTGGTTTTGCTTCTCCCTCTTTCTCATCATGTATCTAATATCTATATATTAATGTGTATGTACATACTTAAAGCATTCTCCTTGTGTCATTTCCTCAGTTGTTGCAACATACGCTTATGTGCATATATATGTATTTTCCCACACAAACATGTATGCTTATACTGAAATTCTTACAAAAGGTAACTCGTATTAGTAAGCTGCAAAATTGACTGCTCACCCAACTTTACAAAATCCCAGATCACACTATTTGATCAGCTTTTTTTTTTTTTTTGTTGCATTGTATCCTGTATTTTGTAAAACTATGGAAAGGGTTCAAATGTGTGTCTTGGTGGTTGTAGTTTCACAATTATTCAAATTCCATTGGGGCCCATTTGGTAGAGGTTTGAAGCCAAGCTGGTGAGAATGCAGCTGAGCTCCATGATATAAGCTGGTTAATGCAGCGGAACTGCATGATACAGTACCCAAATCTGCAAGTCTAGTTTGTTCTGCCGATCAATGAACTATGACATTTGAATATTTTCTTTTGTATATATTCTTGTTTTCATCATCTTTACAATATTTGTAAGAATCCTTGTTTTCGCTATCTTATAGTAGTACACGAAGTCAGACATGATGCAAGTATGCAACATGCTCATGCTACACAGTTTTTATGTGACGGACTCTTCCAGTAAACTGTAAAGGATATTAGATGCGTTCATTCATCTTTATATGTGAAACTTGAGACAACTGCGATTGTAACTGAATCAATGGTAGCGATTTTTTGATGTGCTAAACTAGACCATCAATTAGTGTTTTAAAGCAAAAGTTAACCAGTCGCCATGTGCTAATCAATATTGTTTTTCTTGGTAGAAAAAAAATTTCATTCAAACATTGCAAAAAAGAGCGGATAGTAATACTAAGGAGGAATAGCCTCATATGTGCTGTTCAGGAAAGCCCGAAGCCAAGGGTGGTTCGGGTCAGACAGGCAAAAGGAGCCTGAGCACTCCTTTAGCTCCACTGAGACTAACAGGCCCAACCGCACTGCCCTTAGCTCCGCTTCCATTACTAAGGAACAATGCATCACTTCTCCCTTGGCAAGAGCCAGACTCCCCTCTGAGTGAAAGATAAAGGTTACACACCCCAAAAAAGCTAGATAGATGAAAATAGTGGTAGGATCCGATACACTAGGACTAGGATGGGGATGGCTTTTCTCAGGATGAACAACTCTTGATTCTTGAATAGTCCCGGAACTTCAGGGAGTTCGAACTTCAAAGCTCCGTGCAAGATGTGCCTCAGGTCCGGAATAATTCCTTGAAAAGTCAAACTGTATCTTGCCTGAATGCCTTCCATAGGTGGTGGCCGCCAATAACGCCTATTTCAAACTCCCCTAGCTAGAGAAATGGCTAGTGGAGAATCAGGATAGAACCCACTCCCCAATAGAAGTGCAACTTGGGTGGGCCCAATCCAAGCCCAAACAGGTCCAGTCTGAAATTTTACATGGGTTTGGGTTGGATGTTTTGGTCCTCAGACTGAGCTTGGGCCTAGCCCTTAGATAGCCCAAATCCTGCCCCACTATATATAAATATATGTTTACATATATACATACATATTTGTGTGCACATACATGCATTCACACATGTATATCAAATTTTAGAGTGGATTCATTGACCAACCCAAACCCAATCTGGGCCCATACCTAACCTGGCTGCATCAAATTACAATGAAAGATGGACTCGAGTTGAAAAGGACTTGGCCGTGTGCTTGGTCTGGGCTAGGGCTAAGGCTTAAATCTTAGGGTTGGGCCTGGGTTGAAAATAAACCCAGTCCAGCCCACCCGACTTCCACCCCCTCTCCCCAATGGAACTTGCATCCACCTCCCCTGACCTTAAGTCCCACGGATGCCTAGCTAGACTACACGAGTGAGATAGCGGAGAAGCAGGTGCACAATGTCTTCATCCTCCTCTTCACACACAGGGCATAGGCTGTAATCTAAAATTCCCCTCCAGCTCCAGATAAGCTCCCTGTTCACCGCTATAGCATTCGAGATAATCCACCAAAGAAAGCTCTTAATTTTCTGTGAGACCCTTAACTTCCAAATGGCTTTACAATACTTTATCGGGAATAGAAATGGCAATTTCCATCCTACTTGCCTTGATGATGATTTTTTTTTTTTTTTGTAAGAAATGGATTTTGGGGTGGAGATGAGTTTTGGGATTTTACATGTCGTATGGGTATGGGTAAGATACAGTATTAGGCTAAACCTGACATTCATCGACCTGTATTGGTTTGTGTCTTAGATTATATGCATAATGTGTTGGATGTAACTTATGATTAGTGTGCTGAATTTATTAATGATTTGAATCTTATGTAAAGGATAATTAATAATTTATTTTTTCTACATGTTTCCATTAAATAATTGAAAATTTTATGTTTATTCATGTTATTTTGCTTGTTTATTACTCATATATAACAGGAAACTAGATGTAGGTTCTGGATATAACACGACCCACCCTTAAATACAAGAAGGGAAAGGTTAGGGAGGGTTTGGCATTTTCATGTGTAAAGAGAGTTTGGGTTTTGGAAAAGGTATGATTTGGGAGGCCTGGGAGGCAAAGAGGGTCTAAAATTTACAAAACCCTCCCTGAACCTGCCTCACTGCCATCCCTATTTAGGAGACTGTTGATTCTCAGATGATCCATCACCATGAGGATTCCTTGTGATTCCGTACTTGACAGAATGGTATGGTATCCAAATTTAATAGAGTATACACTTGAGTTCATATGGGCCCATATCATGGTATTAGTCCTCTTCTACTTACCTAGAGAGATGGTTAGGACAGATTGAACTTTTTTTTTGATAGAACCTAATTGTGCTAGACAAGACGGGGGTAGCACACTCCCAATAGTCATCCTTACAAATAGCGCTTAGAGAACTAGGTAAATTACAAGCATTGAGTAAAAAGAAACCCAAACTCAATAGTAATCTTTGAATCCCTAAAGTTTGAGGCCAAGTTATGAGCCTCCCACGCCGCCCACGCCTCAGCAGTGTTAATGAGGAGATGCCCAGAGAGTAACCTTTGGAGTCGATTATTTCACCAAACTTGTTCCTTGCAACGACAACTACCTAACACATCCCATTAGCTAACCTTGATGAATCAAGATTAATCTTGATTTTCCCCTCTTCAGGGGGGATCCACCCAACATACCTCCACTTTTTAATATTAGACTCTTTCTTGGAGTCATTATAGTATTCACAAAATTCCAAAAAAGCTTTAGAGGCTCTTTCAATAATAGTTTGAGGATGATATGATGTATTGGAGAAACTTTTATTATTTCTATTTTTCCAAATGTTCCAAAGCAAATAGGCACATCTCTCTTTCATGTTTGATTTGTTTTTGCAATCATCTTCATGGATTTTTTTTTCTACCACTCTTTTTGGTTATTTTCAAATTCGGAGGGAGATAAAATACTATTATTTACCATACACTAGATTTGTTTTGTGAAAGAGCAACATCTAATTATATGATTCGAATCCTCTTCCTCCCCACAAAAACAACACTCCTCATCAATCTTAAAACCTCTGGATTTTAGTAATCCTTTCGAAGGGAGTATTTGGTTCAAAAGTAAATACAAAAATACTTTTATGTTTTGTTTACATTTAATACTCCAGACCAAAGCATTCCAATTGTAATACTCTCCTCTACTAATTTCAGATTTGCATTTGATTTTATAGGCTGAATTAACTGAGAAAATCCCCTTGGGTTATTCTTCCAAGTCAACCAGTCCTCTTTGTCCTCCGTATGGATGAAGATCAGCTTGATTTTGTTCCAGGTTTCCTGAGAGACGATCTCTTTTATCTTATTTTCATTCCAAATCTTCTTGTCCTGATCAATAAGCTCCTAAACATTTATATTTTCATTCACCAAAGGAGAAGTGTAAGATTTCTCTAGGGGTTCATCACATATCCAACAGTCTTTCCAAAACTTGATAGATTTCCCATTACCTAGCACTCATCCAAGACCCTTTCTTAGCAGCTCTCTAGCACCAAGAATTCCCCTCCACACCCAAGAGACATTTTTCTTACATTTGACATTTAAGAAGCTCTCTCTACTAAGATATTTTCCTTTAATAACCTTAACCCACAAATTGTTTTCTTCTTTCATTATTTCCCATCCCAATTTAGCTAGATTGGCTTCATTAACCCATCTTAAATTTGACAGACCAAGGCCAGCCCAATTTTTTGGGCTGTAGGCTTTTTTCCAACTTAGAAGGTGCAAAGGCTTTTTATCACTAGAGTTGGTCCACAAAAAGTTTTTCTGAGCTCTATCAATATCCATAATTACATTCTAGGGAAGTTTAAAGGATCTCATGATGAAATGCAACATCAGGTTGGTAGAGGTTTTAAGGAGTGTAATCCTACCAACAAGAGAGAGAGAGAGAGAGAGAGAGTTCTTCTTCCAAGAAGACAAATTTTTCTCAACCTTTTTCCTTCACATATTGGAAGGATCTTTTTGTAACTCTGGAGTTGATTAATGGGACACCCAGGTAAAAGTTAGAACTTGATTGGATTGGAATCTTCAAAATTCTTGCAAGGATCTTCTTAAATTTGTTTGGCACATCTTTTGAGATTTGGATAGAAGATTTTTTATAATTAGGAAGTTGACCTGAAGCCCCAACAAAAGAGTCCAAGGTTTCTTTAATTTGAAGACAGGTTGGGATAGTAGGCTCTACAAATATTAAACATTCATCTGCAAATTGAAGCACAGGGATCTTTAGGCTCCTTTTTGCTGCTTTACTTCCTATGAAGCTATCTAAATTTAAAGCTTCTCTTTCCAAATTTCTTAAGAGAGCATCAACACACAAAACAAATAAGTAGGAGACAAATGATCACTTTGTCTTAACCCTCTTGTAGGTAGACATTCTCTTGTGGAAGTTTCATTAATTAGGAGTTGAAAAGAAACAGTTTTAACACACTCCATAGTCCACCCAATCCATTTGTCATGAAAACCAAATTTTTTAAGAACTTTCTTAAAGAAATCCCATTCTATTCTATCATAGGCCTTCTCCATGTCAATTTTACAGACCATTATACCTCTTTTTCCCTTCTTTATCCTCATAGTGTGCATCATTTCATGAGCAATCAAGATGATGTCATTAATTTGCCTACTTGGGATAAAGGCACTCTGATAAGGGGAAATCAAATCTTCTAGGAAAGGCTTGATTCTATTTACCAAAATCTTAGTAATGGCCTTATAAATAACATTACAAAGGCTTATGGGTTTATAGTTATTTACAAACTCAGGATTATCTACTTTTGGGATCAGGGCAATAAATGTTTTATTTAGAATGAGACATAATTTCCTTGAGCGAAAGAAGGCTTTTACAACCCCACATAAACATTCTTTGACAATTTCCCAGAATTTTTTGTAAAACATAGCATTGAGCCCATTTGGGCAAGGAGATTTAAAGTCCCCAATACTTTGAAGAGCTTTGAAAATTTTAGATTCAATGACATCTCTAATGATATAGTTGTTTTGCTCTTCAGTGAAGATTCAATGATATAGCATTGAGCCCATTTGTTAGTGAAGATTCAATGACACACCTGCTAATATTATCAATGAACTTATCCACCCTTCTAGTTCCCTCATATTGGAATCTTTTCTTAAATTCCTCATAGAAGTGATTGGATATACTTACATCATCCTCAAGCTTTTCCCTGGTCATCTTTTATAACGATGATTCTATTTCTGGCTTTTCTAATCATA